TGGTTTCATTGCAGATAAGACACAGTGGTTTATCCTTAAAAGCTTTGAAAAAGTACTTCCAAGTCCATTCATCTTTGAAAACACGGCACTCTGAATCAACTTTACGTTTTTTAGTTGACATCTTAGGGCTGAAATGTTTCACGAATGTGCACAGTAAAACTAGCAAACACCTACAACAATAATGCGACCGGGTCTGAATAAAAGAATGTGGTGTTAGTAGCCAGCTGCAGTGGATGTAATGTGGAGGGGGTACAGCGAGGAGGCTCCGTTGCCAGTTTTACTCTTCGCTACAAAAATGCCAGCAGCCAGTGCCTCACTCTCAAATGTTAACATAGCATTCCAATGCCATAGTGGATAAGTAAATAAATTAATCTGTGGTCACTAGGCTAAACATAAAAGGGAGGAAAGAAGAAGAAAATAATCCAGAGTTATTTATTTTCCTTAATTCTTCTTCTTTTTATTCGTCAGATTAGGAATCATTTCGCGGGCCGGATAGAACCTATCAGGGGGCCACGTCTGGCCCGCGGGCCGTAGTTTGCCCACCACTGGTCTACGGGATAGTTCCTGTGTGGAACTCGGTCATAAAGCTGGTTCTCATGGTGAAACATGGGGACTTCTCAACAATTCATTAGCAGTATTCCTGATGGTATGTTCACCTGCAAAGCAAAGAGTGGTCATAGCAACACTCTTACGATCCAACAAGAACAAAAGGAAACAAAGGCTCAAGAATTGGTTCTACAGAAAAATTCTATAGACTTTCTAAGCTTTGGGACAGCTGCTTTGCCGTATATAACACTGGGGACAGCTACACACCGACACACTGTGACAGCATCGGCGATCTTATCCACGATGGCAGCAAACTTCTCGGCCACGAATACCAGAAGAACTAGTGCACGATACAAGTTGCAGAACAGAAGCAACTGTGCTTTGCTTGCTGTTTTGCTGCCTCCATGACAAAACAGATTAGTGCAGACATTCCAGAAATATTCTCCGAATTTAATCTGTTCTTAAATATGTCGTGAATGTAATTTTTATTTGCTAATGTCATTTCCAAATTATCTTCATTATTTGTCAGTGGTTGATCACGTTTCTTCGTGAAGCTGGCAGATATAAAATTTAATTAAATTTATTTATACGGCTCTCGTGTAGTCATGCATGGAGACAGTAATGGCCATTTCTGCAACTGCCCCGAGAGTGAGCTAAAAATGAAAAATAATTTCCAAGATAACATATTAACAAAACGGTTCAACATACTGTAACGTGTTTAAGTTACTGAATACGCCGTAGAGATGGTTAATTGGTTTATTTAACAATCTACAGATAACGGCTACAATTACTTATCTCACAGTTGCGGGGTTTCACACTTTAAAACCCTAATCGCATTAATCTGTTACCGCTGTTGCGGGGTTTCACACTTTATAACCCTATGCGCAAATCAGCTCACTCTGTCTTCAGTAGTCTACACGTATACAGTAGGGAAGCTGTGTATCACTGTATCACACACACTCCCAATTACACAATTACACACACGTCCGGTTCTTCTTTCCGCGACGGTTGTTATACTCCACTATAGTCGGCTGACTGGAGAACTGTTGATAACACACTCGCTCGTCGACTACTTAACTCAGCGATGTCCACATTATAACTGACTCCTAGCTGCTGTGCAGTTCCTCATATATCCGCCGTGGTGCCTGTTACGCGCCACATCACAGTAGGAAGCGGTTACGGGTACGTAGTGTTGCGCGTTACGTCACCGCGGAGGAGCGGGAGGGAGCGCTTCGTTACCGCCACGCACCTGTGGCATGAGTTGCCACGTTGCTGCTGGGTAGGGAGGGGGTCTCCGTTCCACAACATGTTACAATACTGAATGTGGAATGACATAATAATATCGATCTGTTGCCAGGCAATAAAAGAATAATCGGTTTCCTTCCAACATTGTTTCAGAGAAACTTCAGAGAAAAAATGGAACCACTGGTTACGGCTTCACTGTTCGTACTATTTTGTACGCTAGTGTACCTATTCTGCCGGGAACAAATTTTATGTAAGTAATTTGTCACTGGTTAATGAATAGACACGGTGTCTGCGCTGATTATTGGATTTAATGAACACGATGTACACGTAACTACAAATTATAATAATCTCACTAATTGACATACTCTACAAATAAGTACAGCACGCACTAGATATTCGTTACCAGTTTACGTCAAAGTCAGATTCACATTGCGACCGACGGTCATTCGGTCAGTCCGTCTTGGTGTCCATTCCCCTCTGGGGATCATGACCAGAACGCAGTTATTGTTAGACAGTTACGATTTTGTCGATAATGAGCATCCTCTTTGACGATATTACAGGCCTGCCATTTGTCGTGGTCATTGTCCATCCATTCTCAATGCTCTTAATGTTTACAGTTTTACATGCACAGTACATGGTATAATAACGTATATATATATAAATGTCATGTATAAAAGGCCTCTGTTAGTTTAGACTGAAAACAGCAGATCATGCTCCATCTTAAATAGCTCACCCTATAACGGCAGCCTTGTCTCTTGGAACGGTCGTACGCTTGACCATCGCCAAATTTAAGCCTTTGTCGGTTCTATAAAAGTGTTAATTTGAAATGAAAACCATCTCATGGTGTTTCAGATTTCTTCGAAAACAGAGCCACATCTACTCGTATATGTAGGTTCTGCAGCAGCTTACTGCATTCATAGCACTCTCTCTCAACGCCATTCGCATTATATGCCATGAACTGGAGATGTCCATCTTGTCCTCATGATATAACCTTTGCACGTACCTCATAGCAAACATCATTTCCCACAGTTCCATCAATAATGCACAACGTATCTGTTGCTGCGAAAACTTGTTTGCTGATCCATTGTCTAGCAATGCCTTCTCTGGGTCCAAGCCGGATTAGCAGACCTAGGAAAGGCATTCATTTCTATGTAACGGACGGCAAACACGTGAATAATTGTTAGGCAACAGATCGTTCAATATGTCGCTCAACAACTCATGAACTCTGGGACATAAAGTTTTCTGTGCAGTCAGTTCAGAGGCTATATAACGACCACTGCATTGTTCAGTAATGACTTACGCTTGTCCCTCCTTGGAATTAGCGGCAGACATCATCATCAGTAATCTGTCAGACGACAGGTCCACAGTCTCTTCCAAAACAATTCCTCCACTTAATGCGATCTAGAGCTTTCTCCTTCAAATGACAGTATCCTCTTCTGTCCCCAAGGTCATCCAGCATCTTCTTACGTCTTCTTCCTCGTCTTCTTGTCACTTCTATCCGCCCATCTATCTTTCCTTCGATAGCTTCTTTTAGAAGGCAGTTTCTGCGTAAAACATGACCAATCCAATTAGCCTTCCGTTTTCTTATTTCATGTAGGATATTCCTCTGCTCACTGACTCTAATTAACACTTCTTCATTTCTCACATAATCGGTCCAACTGATCTTCTCCATTCTTCTCCAACACCACATTTCGAAACTTTCCAGATGTTTCTGATCTACTGCCCTAAGTGTCCATGTTTCAGCCCCATACAGAGCTATGCTCCAAATGTAGCATTTCACTAGTTTCTTCCTCAAATTTAAGTCCAATTTGCTGGTAAAAAGATTCTTCTTCTTGCTAAATGCAGCTTTTGCCATGGCAATCCTGGATTTAATTTCACAAGTACACCTTCCATCATCTGTTAACAAGCTACCCAAATATTTAAAACATTTCACATTCTCCACTTGTTTTTGGTCTATCTTTATTGTGACTGGGGTTGGTTGTCTCGAAATTTTCATTACTTTTGTTTTCTCCACATTCATTTCCATGCCATAGCACCTTCCAATTTCAATTAGTCTATCAATCATGCCCTGTAGCACAGTTTCTTCCTTAGCCATTAACACAAGGTCATCTGCATATTTCACAGTTTGAATAATTTGCCCTCCTACTTTGAAGTCACCGAGCCCATCCAGAGCTTCCTTGGTAAGGCATTCGCTGTACAAGTTGAACAGAATTGGTGATAAACAGCATCCTTGTCGAACTCCTCTTCCAATCTGCACACTTCCTGTCTCCCCCCTGTCCAGTCGTACTCTAACTTTCTGATCCATGTACAATTTGCTAATCAATCTTCTTTCATGCCAATCGATACCTGTTTCTTTCAGGATCTGCATTAATTTGGTCCAGTTTACCCGGTCAAATGCCTTCTGCCAGTCTATGAAGCAAACACACAGTTCTTCATCTATCTCCAAAGTTCGTTCCGCTATAATTCTCATCATCCCAATTGCATCCCTGGTTCCTTTTCCTCTTCTAAATCCAAACTGATCTTCTCCAAGTACATCCTCTATTTTCCTTTCAATTCTTCTTTTAAGTATCTTTGCTATTATCTTTGCTGTATGTGCAATAAGGCTTATTGTGCGATGGTCGCTGCATTTTGTAGCTTTTGTCTTTTTCTTTAAGGCAATCATTGTCACTTCTGTAAAGTCCTTGGGCCACTCTCCAATTTCATATATGGTGTTCATTAGTTTTGTCAGTGTTTTCAAACCACCTTCTCCCAGTAACTTGAGCACATCTCCAGGTACATCATCATCTCCTGTAGCCTTTCCCTTCCTCATTTCCTTGATAGCTTTTTCCACCTCACTTTGTAAAATATATGGTCCTTTCTCGTCTGTATCTATTCTTCTTCCGGTTCAACTTCTAAGGTTTCTGGCCGATTAGGTCGATCATATAGTTCTGTAATATAATTTTCCCAAATTGTCAGCACTTGCCTCTGATCTACTATTCTATTCCCCTGGGAGCCTTCGATGCCAATATTTTGAATCCCATGATTCTCTTTCCATCCTAGTTCTTTTGTCTTCATGTACATCAGATCATAATGTCCTGTTCTTTGAAATTCTATAATTTCATTACATATCTTCTCAAGATATTCCTTTTTGGCCCTGTCCGTGGATCTTTTCAATTCATTCCTCAGTCTCCTGTATTTCCTCCTGCCTTCTTCATTGTTGACATTCTTCCATTTCCTTCGCTTCTCCATTTTACTCATCATCTTCTGTGTAACCCTTAGTTTTCTTGCTATCTTTTCAACTTTACCAACCAAATCACTGATAGTATCTAACATGCATTCTTTTATATTGTTCCACTGCACTTCAGCATTTCCGCTTTCACCTTCAATTGCACCGAGTTTCTCTTCTAGGGTCTCCTGCACGCTTTGTCTTTGAGCATCTAGGTCTGCGTTTTTGGAATCTTATAATTTTCTTCCTACCCCTAAAATATTAGTTCCTGCAAAATAAGGTTCTGCACACAATTGGAAATTTTCCAAGGTGCACACCGGTCTGAGATTTGCACACAGCTTTCAATCTCCCGTATGTATACGATTATATAACAAAATTGTGCAGGCAACAGGCAGAAGTCATACAAAATCATGAGAATGTATACGTTCTCGGTATATCACAAGGTGACGCCAGACATAGAAAATACAACAGGCTTAAACTTGGTGGTGGCCAAACATACAACCGTTCACGTGACTAAGCTGCCATCATAGCATAATATACGTGTATGTACGACAGGCATGATCTGCCCTGCAAGGCTTAGACTGACAGAGGACTTGTGTAGTGCAAAAGGAAGTGCTTTCAATAACATGCCATAAGTGCGAAATGTATACTTGACGAAAGGCCAAGCACATTTATCAGAGAGAATGTAACAGAAGGACTCTTGCCGCAAGAGTTTAGTTGAAAAAAAAAATCTCTTCTCTTAAGTCTCAAAGGACTTGACGCCAAGGTAAACTGATTCTTGGTAAACCGCCAGTCGTAAATTAAATCTGACTTGACTTTTCGTATGTATACGATTATATATAATATAACTGTGAAGGTAAAAAGCAGAAATCATAGAAAATCATGAGAATGAACATGTCCGCTGTGAAAGACAAGGCGAGGACATATGGAAAATATAAGTGGTTCGCCGTGAGCAATCTCCGCTCTTAGCAACCGTAACCTAGCTACGTCCAGTGAGGACTAAAACAAACTGAGAAGCCTCAGTGTGTAATGTGTTTATTTGTAGCGTGTGTAAATCAGTGTTACAGTTCTTTATAGTTAATTAATTACCAATCTAAATCACATGATTAGTCACAAACACATCAGATTGTTATTAGTATATTCTTTGGTTAGACTTTAATGGATTTCAAAACAAGCCAAAAGAAGTACAGTATATTCTTTCTTTAAAATCACCTATATTTGAAATTGTCATTCAATATTACAAGTCCAGAGGTGTAGATATAGATGCGTTAATTCTCATTCTCTTCAGAAACGTTTTATATCTGTTGTAAATACTTTCCAAAATCAGTTCGCTCTTGCACATGCCACGCTGTGAATGACTTCACCGCCGGCCTAACAGCTTGCCATCTCTTCCTTTGCTAGTTCATTCAAATCTAGTTCTAGCTGGGAAATATTTTATTCCCCAACCCAAGTTCCCAATAATGAGTGTAATAATATTTTGCGTCTGTTGTCGTGGGTGATTCGTAATCCACAGATGCGACATCCCCTTTCACCAGTGAGACTTTCGGTAGATGAATGTTCACTGTTTATACTAGAATTCTAGGATCAGCAGTTATTAAAAGTAAGTAAAGTAAAGTAAAGCTATCCCTGTAAGAGGCTGTGAAGGCCCATAGGGTTGTGAGACGTTGAGGGTCCCACACTATCTAGACAATCGGCTCAAAGATGGCGGTAAGGTTGTCAGCCTTACGCACCGGCCGCGCTTTACTCCCCAGGAAAATTATTTAACTAATTCCTGGTACTCATATCTGTTAGAGGCTGAGTCGAACTCAGGGCCATAGTGTGGCTGGAAGAATTAGATCAACTGAAAAAATCCAATGACCTCATCGGGACTTGAACCCGCGACCTTCCGGCTTGTAGCATAATGCCTCAACCAACTACGCTACCGCGTGCCCCCGATTCACAGTTATTAGCATACATAATTTGATATTAAATATAGGTTACATTAGGCCTTGGAATAGCTCAGGTGGTTAGTCAGCTCACACCCATCGCGTCGCACTGGGTTCCATCCCAGAAGTCTTCACACATTTGTGATGGGCAAAGTGGCACTGCGGTGTTTTTCTCTCTGTACTCCACCTTCTCCAGCCAGTTCTCATTCCCACATCTGCTCCACACCTGCACTATTATTTAGGAAATTTCCCTTAGCTGTTGCGAAATAAGGACCCGATTTTCTTCGTATACTTGTATTCAGGAGCCATTGTGCTAATTTGTTATTGATTGCACTGATCTAAACAGGCAGGGAAATAACACTGTAGCTGGTACGGGATTGCTCGGAATTAGCTGAGTTTGCCTTGCGTTTCTAAAAAGAACAAATTGATATTAAGATAACAAGTCAGACATTCGGAGTATGAATGTGCATCTGTGTAACATACTTAAGTAGTTTTATTATTTTTTTCAGTACTGGGATATCTACTGAAGGAGTGCATGGTAAGTTTCAGAGAAGCAACAATTTATGCATAGCCTGCAGTTAGCCTGTAAATTGCTGCTTAATAAGCAGTTACAGGTTTATCGAAATGCTTTCCGAGAGAGAGAGAGAGCGAGAGATTCATTCAAATTTTCGGAAAAAGATTTTGAATAAATTGCCATATATTCAGAGAGTTTTTTTTTTTCAAAAACTCAATTACATAATCAGTACTCGAGTTGAAATTAGAATTAAAATTCATATTACTTTCAGATGTACAATGTTCCCACATCGTAACATCCATAAATTTACCTGGATATCTCCTGATGGGAAGATACACTATCAAATCGACCATATTTTGATAGACAGGAGACGGAATTCAAGTATACTTGATGTCCGATCATTCATTGTGATACTGACCACTACCTGGTTGTGGCAAAGATTGAGGAAAGACTGGCAGTAAGCAAACAAACATCGCACAGAGTTCATACGGAGACGTTCAATCTCAAGAAATTAATCGCGGTAGAGGGTGAAGAGCGGTAGCGTGTTGAAATCTCAAATATGTTCGCGGCTTTCTAAAACTTGGACACTGAGGTGGATGTTAATAAAACTTGGGAAACTATTAGAGAGAATATCAAAATTTCTGCAAGGAGATCTAGGTTATTATGAACTGAAGAAGCATAAGCCACTGTTTGATGAAGAATGCTCAATATTATTACAATAAAGAAAACGAGTCAAACTGCAGCAGTTATAGGTTCCAAGAGGGAAAAACAGGAATAATCTGAAGAAAATTCGATGTGAAACCAGAAGGCCTATCAGGAACAAAAAGACGGAATATCTAAAAGACAAAATTTATGAGCTTGCAACGTACAGCAAGAACAAGAATATTAGAGACCTCTATAGAGGAATAAATTATTCTAAAGGGTTACACAACCTAGAAGTAACTTAGAGAAGGTTGAGAATGGTGATCAGCTTGCAGATTCCCACAACGTTTTGAATAGGTGGAGGAACTACTTCTCTCAGTTATTGAATGTACATGTACACGTATAAGGCCAGTGATGTTAGAAATACATATAGCTGAGCCATCAGTACCTGATCCTAGGCCTTTTTGAGGTTGAAATGTTACTGCAAAATTGAAGATATAAATCGCCACGTAGCCATCAAATTCCGGAAGAACTTATTCATACAGGAGGCGAAATATTATTTTCTAAGATCCATAAGCTAATTAATTCTATTTGGCATAAAGAAAGATTGTGTCTATTATTGTACTAGTACACAGGAAGGGTGAATAAACTGACTGTAATAATTATCGTGGGATATCAATGCTATCGACTTCATACAAAACTTTATCCAATATTCTTCTTCTCTCAAGTTTAAGTCCGTATACAGATGAAATTATTGTGGATCATCAGTGTGGGTTTCGACGTAACAGATCAACTACACACCAGATCTTTTGCATTTGTCAGACAAAGGAGAGAAAATGTGAGTACGATGAGACAGTACATCAGCTATTCATAGACTTCAAGAAAGCCGGTGATTCAGTCAGGAGGGAAGTATTTACAATATTCTAATAGAGTCTGGGATACCCATGAAACTAGTTAAGCTGATTAAAATGTGTTTAAACGAAACGTATAGTAAAGGTTGTACATATTGGTAAACATTTGTCTGATAAATTTCCTAACCAGACTGGTCTGAAACAAGTAGATGCTTTATTGTCATTTTCTTTCAACTTTGCTTAAAATACACGTATGCCATTAGGAGGGTCCACGAAAAACAGGTGGGACTCAAATTAAACGGGACACTATGCTGATGATATGAACCGACTGGGTGGTAATATACGTAAATGCCATAAAGAAAAACACACGAATTTTAATTGATGCAAGTAAGGGCTCGTCTAGAAGCATACACAGAGAAAACTAAGTACATGCTGTTGTCTCATCACGAAACTCAAGACATAACGATGGGAAACACAGGTTTTGATAATGTGCCACAGTTCAGATATTTCGGGACGACTATAACAAATCAAAATCTGATTCTGAAGGAAATTAAGAGGAGACTGAACTCAGGTACTGCTTGCTACCATTCAGTTCAGAACGTTTTGTGTTCTAGTATGCTGTCCAAAAACATAAAAAATTAGAATATACAAAACTATCATTTTGCCTGTGGCTATGTATGGGTGTGAAACCTGGTCTCTTGACATTAAGGGAGAAACATAGACTGATGGTGTTTGAGAACAGGTTGTTGAGGAGAATATTTGGACCGAAGAGGGATGAAGTGACGGGAGTTTGGAGGAAACTGCATAATGAGGAGCTTCGTAACTTTTACACTTCTCCTAGTGTAATTAGAATGATCAAGTCAAGGAGGATGAGGTGGGCAGGGCATGTAGCACGAATGGGAGAGAAGAGGAGTACATATATGATATTGGTGGGAAAGCCAGAAGGACAGAGACCACTGGGAAGACCAAGACATTGGTGAGTAAACAATATTAAAGAGGATCTTAGAGGGATCGGATGGGATGATACGGATTTCATTGATGTGGCTCAGGATAGGGACCAGTCGAGGGCCCTTGTGAACACGGTAATGAACCTTCGGGTTCAGTAACATGTTGGGAAATTCTTGAATAGCTGCAGTATTGGCGGCTCCTAAAGAATGGCTCGTCTTCATATGTAATGACTTTCGTGCTGATACTTGTTTCAGGCAAGCTGTATACGTCTGGGTGTGGTGGACTTTCTGGTCATTTTGGCCATGATTTCCTGTTACAATTCATTGGTAAGTTTCTTGGCAGCTAATTTTCACTTACCAAGCATTACTCTCTAGTAAAATGGTAAGAATTAAAGAAAAATTTCTGCTATATGTTGCAGGATGGATATATGCCACAGGCAGAACGCTATGGGATATTGGTACATTTCATAAGTGGTCTACCGGTAAGTTCCTTGACAGCTAACTCTTCGTTTAACAAGCATCACTGTCTCTAGGCAATGAGCGGAATTAAAGAAAAATTTCTCATATATGTTGCAGAAAGGATATATGAGATGCAAAGACATCATAGAGTTGGGAGTGAGTCTATTATACCTATTCCACGTAAGTTTCTTGACATCTAACTCTTCACTTACCAAGCATCACTGCCTCTATGTAATGCACCGAATTTTAAAAAATCCTGTCATGTGTTTCAGGTAGACTACACCAGAATCCTCACTGTCTTTTGGCCCTAAATAATTTTCATGAACGCAGCAAAGGTAAGTATCTAGGTAGCTAACCCTCCATTTACCAAGCATCACTATCTATAGGCAATGGGCCGAAGTAAAGAAATATATCTGTTTAGTTCCTGGGAAGGAGAGGGATTTTTCTATTGTGCACACCGTGAAGTCCGTCCATAAGGGCAACCCACTCTCCTGTCCGGCACGTATTAGTGGTTCCTCGAACTAACGCGAGGAGGCCCCTGGGCACGCACTTCCATTAATTTTATTTAGTTCTTTGTCGATCCTTACTGCAGATATCAGCAACTCAGACTGTATAGCGCCAAATGGTAACACGAATAGTGTATCATGAATTTGACAGTAAGAGAAAGGAATCTGTTGTGGACTGATAGCGCTAAATGGTAACATGATTAGTGAATCATGTATTTGACAGCAAGAGAAAGGAAGCTGAAGTGGACTGATAGCGCCAAATGGTAACACGAATAGTGAATCATGAATCTGACAGCAAGCGAAAGGAATATGCTGTGGACTGATAGCGCCAAATGGTAACACGATTAGTGAATCAAGAATCTGACAGCAAGCGAAAGGAATCTGCTGTGGACTGATGGCGCCAAAAGGTAACACGAGTAGAAAACCATGAATGTGTCAGCAAGCGAAAGGAAACTGCTGTGGACTGATAGCGCCAAATGGTAACACGATTAGTGAATCAAGAATCTGACAGCAAGCGAAAGGAAACTGCTGTGGACTGATAGCGCCAAATGGTAACATGAATTGTGAATCATGAATTTGACAGCAAGCGAAAGGAAGCTGAAGTGGACTGATAGCATCAAATGGCAACACAAATAGTGAATCATGAATCTGACAGCAAGCGAAAGGAATATGCTGTGGACTGATAGCGCCAAATGGTAACACGAATAGTGAATCACGAATCTGACAGCAAGCAAAAGGAATATGCTGTGGACTGATAGCGCCAAATGGTAACACGAATAGTGAATCATGATTTTGACAGCAAGCGAAAGGAAAATGCTGTGGACTGATAGCGCAAAATGGTAACAAGGTCAGTGAATCATGAATATGACAGCAAGCGAAAGGAAGCTGCTGTGGATTTCCGACCTATTAGCCAATTTATTTCCTTGAACTTAATTTCGATTTGTTTTCTCTTCTTCGCTATATGGTGTTTCCAGTTTAATGTTGAGTCCAGGTGTAGTCCTAAGTATTTTACTACATCCTGTTGTTGAATGTTAACATGATTTAGATGTACTGAGGGGCAGTTGCCTTTCCTGAGAGTAAAAGTCACATGCGCCGATTTGCTTTCATTCACTTTGATTTTCCATCGGTGTAGCCATTTCTCCATTAGATTCAGATGTTCTTGTAAATTAGATGAAGCAATTACCGGGTCTTCTGACGCAGCAAAAATTGCTGTGTCATCTGCGAACGTGCCTATTTTTGTTAATTCGGTGGTGGGTATATCTGAGGTGTATAGCACGTAGAGGAGTGGACCCAAGATGCTGCCCTGAGGAACTACTGATTGTATGTTTCTTCGGTTGGATACTTCAGCATTGATTTTTATTTCGAATTCTCCGTCTGTTAGGTACGACTGTAGTATTGCGAAATATTTGGCCGGTAGAATTCTTCTGATTGCAGTAATCTACGAAAGCTTTTTTACTATTGAACTTATCTTGCACTTGTGTACCATGCAACTATTGTCTTTTCAGTGAAAATATCTATTGCAGAGTCACTGATGTTCGGACTGTTACCTAAGTCTTAAATAGTGCTATTCTCGGGTGTCATAATGGTGATTTTGGGCCTCCCCTGAATCTCCGTGCTGCGTTGGTTAACTATGTACCCTCTTTAGAGCAGAGAATTTCCGTTCGAGAGAAGCACCGGCTACTGGATTGGTTAAAAAAATATGAGTAACTCTGTGACTTTTAGTAAATCTGTACTCCTATTTGAAAGGCTGAAGTATCTGGACAGAACCAAAATACTACAATATAAAATTTTTTCAGATCAATTAATGAGGAAGGTTTTAGTTTTCAGAAGAATTATACAACTTCTCTATAATTTCAACGACTAATAAGCAATAGCTAGAAACGTTACAAAATGACATTTAAAATTTCAGAAGTTCGTAACTGAAGTGAACTTTAATTCAAGAATATTTAAGAATCACTTTATCATCTATCCTTACATAGGTTCGACTAATTCACATCACAGTCGACCATAACAGTGTTTTAGACTGTCATTTGCTGTCTCTTCGCCGAAAATTCTGAGTTCTTTATCTCCTTGTAATCAGCTTTCACTTTCTGACCAAACCTCCTTAAACAGCTGTAATCCTCCTTCAAAGAATGATAAAATTCATCCACTTTTTCGAACAGTAATGGACACCGTTTCCTTGCTTTAAATAATTTCGAGAACTCTTTGGGTTGTGGCAGTACTCAAGAAAATACCGCAAAAAAAAATTTGAAATGAAAGCTTTGTGGAATGTGATAAAATCCTGGAGCAGAAATGCGCGTTTTCCGTTTCTAAGGAACTTGTTTCCGCCACTTGGGAGCTATTCAAACACCAAGCAACTTAACTGTGTTAACAGTTCTCTTTTGGCTAACATATCCCACTAAGTGCACGTTTTATTCTCTCCCGCTCAACTGTGTATGCGTTCTGAAACCGACAGCTTTGTTTTCAAGGATTTGGTTAGCATGCCTGTGATGGTTTGGCTATATGGTGGTGGCAGGAAATGCATTTATCTTGATGAGTCTTCCGCCAGTGTGGGGAGTACCTCTGTACCACGACAGTATTATTCTTATTTTATGTCTGAAGTGTCAACCCATCTTTCTATGATCCATTTTAATACAGTCCACTCAACTATGTCTTGGTCTTCCTTGCGACCCCATTCCTTCTTTTTGTTTTCCACCAATGCTCTATACGTGTATCCATTATTCTTCTCCGCCATTCGCGCTACATGCCCTGCCAATCATACTTTCACTTCACTTCATTATTCTAATTATATTTGCGAAGAGTACAAGTTACGGAGCGCCTCATAATGCAATTTCCTCGAGCATTTTATCACCTCATTCCTCTTTGGTCCAAATAAACTATGCAGTACGAGTAAACTACACAGAATTCACTGTTGGTGAATCACGAATTTGAAAGTATCCACCGAGGGAATGATAACAACCACTAAGAATTTACTCAGGTTAGTCTTTTTCTCTAGGCAAATCAGGAAAACATTGCTTTCTCTGATGTACACTCCAATCAACATGCGAAATCTTTTATGGTGAAGGAGATGTATATATAATTACAGTTATCTTGTAAGTGTTACAATAACTCGATAATATTAACAGGTATTTGTTTCTGTTTACAGGGTGATCTAAAAAGACTGAAGCGTAGTCAACGAGCATATTACAGGATGAAGTATGGTTACAAGTATCATATTGAGATAGAAAATAATTTAAAGGGAAATTAACTCAATAATCCTCGCCGCATGAATATCCTGTTGCGTACCAAGTAGAAAGTTAATAATTTTGACTGTGTTTCCTATATTCAACAATTTTTTACACAGTTATAACTACTAACATATTGATCTAAGATTTATCTAAATTTTGGTTAACGTTTTAAAAATGTATCATTTAAAAACTGTAAGCAATTAAGATTCATTAATATTTATAATATATAAATTGCTTATATTTGTAGTTAAAAATTAGAAGTGAAAAAATACTTATAAACAAACTTGTGTTATTTATAAGCATTCAACTGAAAAGGGCCACGATTAATCAGCGTCACTGTCCGTTCAGCCAGGCTTCTGGATATATCCGTTGAGGAGGTAATTGATTGACATTGGTCGAGAATGTGCAGTTGAAATTATTCTGTATTAATTTTATTATATTTCATTCTGAGGATATATAGTAGTAGTAGTAGTAATAATAATAATAATAATAATAAGAAGAAGAAGAACAACAACAACAACGTTGATGTATCACACAGTGCCGAACGGAACACACATAATCAGGGCAGCACCCATGAAATAAGCATCTCTGCTAGAAATGGAAAACAGAATAGAATAATATGGAGTGCAACGACACACAGCAGACCAGTTTATATCTTTTTAAAGTTTAAAAACAATATGTGTACTAAATTTTAGCATTCTCAAGAAATTGTTTAAATAAAAAGCATTTCAAACGTACACTCTTCACGGTTTCTGCTCTACTGTTGTGCAGTATAACAGTTTACGCAAATCAAACCTGTTGATGGCCCTGTGAGACTGAAACATGGCGTTAAATTTGCACAAAAGCATGAACTCACTGGTGGTTTAACAAACAGCATGTGAAGCTGCATGAAAGACTGTACTGTGTGTGTGTGTGAATTCAGAGAGTACCAACAAATGTATACATACTTGAACACATAAAATATCTGCTTAAATAATTTATTGATATGCCTTAGGTTCAACTTTGAAAACGTCTACAGATAACCCGAATAGGAAACTTTATTAGATGTTATTTACAAACATTTTAAAATTTGAGTTGAAGCTATACCAGTACATTATTTAAGCAGATATTCTGTACGTAGAAGTTTGTATATACTTTATATATAGCAAAACTGAGCCATGCGTTCTACTTAGGCTCCGTTCAGCGGCTTCTCTTCCTACCCTCACCCCCCTTTTTTCTTCTTTTCCTCGGAAGTGCTTGTGTCTAGAAAGTTCTTCTGTCCTGGCCTATCACGTGATCCCCCATCCCCTCCAACTGGTTCTGTTTTTTGAGATAAGTAGGGTAGAGAGAGAGAGGAACACTCTAGGACGAGAACGACGAGAAGTCGGGGAAGGCAGGTAACAAAAAAATTCCTTTTGGGCGTGGCCAGTCAAAATTCCGTTTTGGAGTGTTTCCCGGGAAGGTTCGGGACGAGGAATAGCCGTATTGGCGTTTCAAAGTCGCAATATTGGGTCTGTATTTTCTTGTATTATTGTGTATTCTATTAATTGTTTACTAGAGAGTAGTAGTAGCTAAACTGGAGTGGTCTAGCCCCGATCCCCTAAGTGGGTGTGTTCACTAATATTACGCGACGTGACTGTTTCAAGGTCGCAATATTGGGTCTGTATTGTTCTTGTATTAGGGTAAGGTTGCTATCGATGGGCCAGCTCCTTCGATGAGCCACCTCCATTATTTTGTAGTTACTGACAGTAGGCTCTACCCAGTGACTGTTTAGTGTACTACATGAAGCTTGAAAATCGCCATCTTGACCGATCTTGACTGTGAGTTGATCCACGCACAAACAAGGTTCCTATACAAGAAGGTAAGATTTTTGTACTTTTCTTCAAATTTTTCAAAGTCAACAAAATATGGATATCAGTGAGACGTTAATAGTGTTTTAGTTGTTACTGATAATATTTAAAACTGTGTTAAATCAGCGCTATTTAGCCATATTAACAATGGAAGTTTACTTTGTTATAACCGAAGTCACGGACGTATTACATACGGTCTGCTAGTTGTCTTCAATGGGCCAGCCTGAGTTGCTATGAATGGGCTGGTGGCCCAACCATGGAAACCATATCGAGGCTAATATTTTTGTAACTTTTTATACTTGTACAATAAAATGTCGTATCTGATTGAGTAAAAACCTATCAGGAGTAATTAAATCTATAATTATATAATCTCATTTTCTTTATTATAAAAATAATTGTATTAATCTAAATCTGAGTATCCCTCATTCGTGTGTAAAATGAATATTTTATTGAAATTATCGTAATGATTTTCATTATTTCATGCGTAATTTACGCCTATTTGTAGTTTTAGAGTTTTATCTGGCCAATTAATAGATTAAGAAACATGCATAGTGTAGGCTATATCTATGTTTTTTTATCCTAGATGCTGCTAGGAGTGAAATATGGTAAATGGGAGGAAGATGATATGAGTCGTGCACTTGATTCAGTGCGAAATGGTGACATGGGCGTGAATGAGGCTGCCAGAACATATGATGTTCCGAGGGCAACGTTGCAGAGACGTTTAAAGGGAGCAAACTGTTTTGCAGTGGAGCATAAAAAAATAATAGGTAGCACGGGTGACCTGCCCGAAGAAGTGGAACAAGAACTAGTGTCCCATGCCATTAAACTAGAGGAATTTTTGTTTGGGATAACACCTCGGGAGTTGCGCATCCTAGCTTTCGAGATCGCAGAAAGGAATCAAATTCCACACCGCTTCAGTCAAGAGAAAAAAAAATAGCTGGCAAGAAGTGGTATTATTCCTTTATGAGAAGACATCCTGAGCTCAGTTTGCGTCAAGCAGAGTCGACATCCTTTGCTCGGGCTAAAGGATTCAATAAAGAGAATGTTAACCATTTTTTTTTTGACTTATTAGAGAGGGTTGTTGACGAGAATAAACTCGATGCAACTCGAGTTTTCAACGCGGACGAGACAGGCTTGTCAACAGTCCAAAGAAACCTCGAAAAGTTCTTACTTTGAAGGGTAAGAAGGCTGTAGGATCCAATGCCAGTGGGGAAGGAGGCTCGACTACAACATCAGTTTGCTACGCGTCTGCCGCTGGACAGTATTTCCCACCACTTCTAATTTACAAACGTACACGGCCTGCAGAAGGATTAGAAGATGGAGCTCCACCAGGAACCATTTTTGCATACATTCCTGAAAGTGGATTCATAAATAAAGATATATTTGTACGGTGGCTAAAACATTTCATCGAAGTAGTCCACCCTTCGAAGGAAAAAAAAAGTTTTACTCCTTCTTGATGGGCATTGTACACACACCAGAAACATCGATGCAGTAGAAATTACTCGAGAAAATGGTGTAATCATGCTCTCACTCCCGGGTCACACAATCCATAGATTGCAACCCCCTGACGTTTCGTTCTTCAAGCCATTGAGCAATTACAGCAATGAAATGGAGAAGTTTCTACGACAAAAACGGAGCTAAGGGAAACCAGAGGTTGTTACCCAGTTCCATATAGCAAGATTCTTTGGGAAAGCATATGGACGAGCAGCAACAATAGGGACGGCCATGAATGGCTTTGCTAAAACAGGCGCCTGGCCAGTGAACAGAGATGTCTTTCAAGACTGTCATTTCGTAGCAGCAATGCAGTTTGAAACAGATGATGTTCCCGTTGTAGGCCTAGAAGTTCCCGACGCAAGCCTAACACCGCTCTTTTCCAACCCGCCTTTGTTTGTATCAGCGCAGTCAGAATGGTGCTATCCCTGCTACACCTGTTTCTACCTTAGGACAGTGTATGATGGCTACTGGAAGTTGTCCTCACAGATCACACTAAGGGAGATCGGTATAGGTACGGGAAACTAGCTGGGTCGGTTCACATGAGTCTCAGAGTAGCGATGCCGAAGAAAGCGTTTTTCTGAGAGTTGAGCCAATTGACGTTTATTCACCTGCTAATTCACCACACTGTTAAATTAATGTATTCTTAGCTTTAAGTTACAGCGTTACACTATCGGCAAGCTATGTCTCGGAGCGTGCAAGGGTCACGTCCGTTCAGTTCGGAATATTGTGAAAGTCTC